TGGTCCTCTGTGCTGAAGGACTGCAGCTGGTTCTGAGGTGGAGCAACATCCGGACAGAAGCGTGAATTCAGTTTGGTTTGTTATATCTTGTTCTGAGCGTCCGTCCTCCACACACTTGGTTCTTCTTCAGGAAAGTTTTTCTCAGGCCGAAGCTCCTAACACCACTCCCTGCTCCAGCTCCTCTGAGCCCAGCCTAAACCAGAGCTGCTCCCACTGGGTCAGGACTCTGGTTTGGATCTAGTCCGACTGTAGCGTTTCTCATACAAGGCTAAATGCAGTTCATTTTATAAGTTGAATCAATCAAATAGGGCCTATTCAGTTTAGGCTGTCTGTGGCATCCACCCTGGTGTCTTTTTTTTTTTCTTCCCCACATTTGAATCTGTATTGCTCAAAAACTCAGAGATGGGGACCCCCGAATATTAACGCGTATTTCACATACTGCCCGTGACCTATGACTGAGACCAGGTTTTCTGACACTAGGCAACACATTTTGTTCCAAAATATCTTGATAGTTTTGAGATTCTCTTGTATTTCGCACAGATTCAAGACGCCCTGTGCCAGATGCAGCAAAACAGCCCCAGAACAAAACCAAGCCTCCTCCGTGTGTCACAGTAGAGACACTGTTCTTTTCTTGGTCTGCTTCATGTTTGCGTCTGTGAACATAGAGCTGATGTGTCTTGCCAAAGAGCTCCAGTTTTGTCTCGTGTGTCCAAAGAACATTCTCCCAGAAGCTTTGTGGTTTGTCCATCTGCATCGTGACAAACTCCAGTCTCACTTTTTTATGATGTTCTCTCAGCAATGGTGTCCTCACATGAAGTCCTCTTTGGTTCAAAGAGTGACTGCATGTAATTCAGCAGAAAACAGTGTGACACGAAACAGGAAGTGTTTCAACACAAGAAAAAAGGAATGGAGTCCAGTGCTATTTACTTACCAGTGCTTTTACTTAACTCCAAATCTATGATCAGGTCATCTTGCCAGTGCCACTGCTGCAGTTCTGGTACCAACCTACCTCCAGCCTGCCTCCATCACCACAAACTGCAAAGGTCCTGTAAAACTCTTAAAACTTACTTGACTTTGTCTCTGCTTTGGGATCCTCATTGCTAAAAATAATTATCAGGCCAACATGGACCCTGCAGAGAGTGAGAACGCCTTTTACTCAAGGTAATCATTTAAGCCAACATGGCGATGCTCTTAAGAAGACAATGAAGTCATTTAAAAGTGTTGATTCAAGTTTCACACAGCTGGGTACTCGTTTGGACCTTTCATCCCCACTTCTGCCAGATACTCAGGTGAAGTAAGGTGATGTAATTTCTCCACCAGTGCTTGCAAGTTTTTGATCAACAACCACTGACTTATGCCTCTGACAAAAGTAAGGTTGCTTTTATTTTGAGTTTACTCTCCTGTAAAGCTGGTGATTTTTGGGGTTGTCTGCGCCTCTCTGCCTTATTGGCATGAAATGTCGCAGTACTTAGCAGCGTTCCCGCGAGAGTCCCACTGGGCCTCCGCGGGAATTACTTCCTTTTAATATGGCACGTTCCATATACGCCGGTGTTGTGTGGTGATGCCTGCTAGGAGCTGCTACTCAGGTACGCGTTTTCTTGATTTTTGCACTTTTACTCCAATTTGAACTCTGATATGTTTTCAACATCTTTAGGCACCTCTGCTATTTGTTTGATGCAGAGTATCGTTGTGTATGTGCATGAAAAACAAAGGGAACTGGTGAGTTCATTCATTGTTTTGCTTCTCGGAGCTGGTAAGCTAGTGCTAGCCTTTGAACATATGAATGGTTCGCTCTTATTTATTATCGATCGCCTTTTGCATTATGAACATTTATGAAGTTAATGTGCACTGACTTATTTATCTGAATTATTTTTGCATTATGATTTATGGTGAAGTAATCAATAGAGTAATCTTATCTTTATGAACATTGAATATTGTATGATTATATTAGCATATACATGGAATTTAATTTAATTTAGCTTTTAGTATTAATTTAATAGAGTATAGGTGATGGACATATAATTGATTACTGGTCCTGTCCCATACAGGCCAGGTTCCATTCTCCTTTCTCCTTTTTTCATCCATCCATCCATTCGTTGATCATCTGTGGCTGTACTCTCAGCTCATCGGTCCGTCCACTCCATTGTCCCACAGAACCCGATGGCGAGCTGCCCAAGGCCCCGGGCCTAAAGACTTCTAACCATCACTACCTTCTACAGTGCGGTAGGAGGCACAGTAGCCTGCTCCTCACACAACACTTTATACATCAATAACCAAAAAGGACATGGTCAAACTCTATTCATTACTCCTTCGGACTATAAACTTTACCACTCCAACCTTTTACCATACTGAACTGAACTGTGATCTCGGAAACGGCAACGCGCCGTTGATTACGTAACCTATTTAATTTTGTCAATATTGTAAATATTATAAAACTTGTATATATTGTAAATATCACCTGTCTATATAACCATTTAATACAACTCACATCCTGCACCATAATACTGTCTCCTGGTCTGTGTGTTTTAAACTGCCTCACCTCCCTCCTAGAGCCGAACTCGGCTACGAACCCAAGAAAGTGCATGCCTCAGATGGAAAACTACTGGCCAGTGTCTCTCATCACACCTCCCCAGTGTTCATGCTGCTTTCTGGTAACCACCATGAGACTATTTCTTTGTACATCATCAGAGAGTTTTAGGTCTCCCTGGCTTAAACTACAAAGGTCATATGACTGTAGCATTTAGCACCTTTACCTGTACTGTACAATCTTTCCAAGCCTAAGAGGGAGGCTATGGAGACCTACATATCTGATTGAATCACTAGCTGCTGGTCTCATTTGCCTTTCTTCCTCACCAGTCGAAGTTGGTTTCTTTTTTGTTGAAAAGAAGGACCACACTCTGCGCCCATGTATTGACTATAAGGGTTTGAATGATATAAAAAGGTTCAATGGTTCAACCTAATCCTCACTTACCGCCCAACTTCCAGGAACACTAAACCAGATGCCTTGTCAAGGCAGTTTGCGGGACCTGTGGAGGAGTTGCCTGAAGAAACTTTCTGGATAGCTGTTGCAGCCTCTTAGAATGATGAGAAAACTCTTCAAGAGGCCTAGGTTTATAATCCTTCCATTTCGGGGACACTTGGGTGTCCCCCAGATTGCCTGCCATCCTGGATTCCATTGTACCATCATGCTTGTCAGGCAGTGGTTTTGGTGGTCTTCCATGTCCTCCAACACCAAGGAGTTTGTTGACGCCTGCTCAGTCTGTGCCCACAGTAAGTCTCCTCACCGTGCCCCAGCTGGTCTGTGCTGTCTGCTCCCTACACCTCACCATGGTCCCACATCACAGTGGATTTTGTGACAGGTCTTCCTCCTTCTGAAGGTAACACAGTCATTTTGTCCATTGTTGACTGGTTCTCAAAATCAGTACATTTTGTCCCATTGCTCAAGTTTCCTTCAGTGCTTATAACTGCTTACCTGCTCATTCAACATGTTGTCAAACTTCATGGTATTGTGCAGGACATTATCTCAGTCAGAGACCCACAGTTCTCTTGCCAGGTATGGCTCTGGGGGCTTCAGCCAGCTTGTTGTCAGGGTACCATTTGCAGACTAAGCACTAACAACAAGAGGCTACTAAACTCAGGAAGCGGCACCCATGGATCATCAACAGAGATGAAGGGGCATTTATCTCGGCCCACACATGGAACTCACTTCTCCAGGGACTGCAAGATCCTTCAAACTGAGCACCCCTGGAAACAACAGCTGATCAGAGACACGTCACAGCAGTGACTTCTCTGACGAAAGTGGAAGTGCTGCTGCTGAAATATGTCAGGTAGATAAGCTATTTACCTTTTTACAGAGTTTTCTTGAAGCCATTTCACAGACAAGGCTCAAAATCACTGTACATCATCTGGAGAATCCTCAAAGATTAACCAGTTTATTGTGATATATCATGCAGTTCACATGCTGTGAAGCCGCAAATTTCGATAAAAATTTTTGCCCCTGTTCGCACATACAAAGTCCGATTGGGCTCCAATTTGAATCTGCTATAAGGTTTTATTACGGAAACCAACTCACGGTGAAAGAAAAAAATGGGCTCTACACCGCCCCCTATGAAATAAGAAATACATTTGTATGAAGGACTGAAAATGTAGCCATTGAAAACCATTTTGTATTTTTAATCATGTTGCCATGGTTCTATGCAAAAGTGAAAGTTTTCTTCTAATGGGAGTGATCCTGTAATTTCCCATTAATGAGAAAAAATTAACATTTAATAATGTGTAATTTGACACAATGACTTCATGTCATCTCCATCAAAAAAGTAAATTGGAACCATGTGGTGTTTTTCACTGGGTTGTCATGGTGATGTGTGAAGCTGCCCATATTATAGTCATGACAAATATCAAAATTGTATCCAAAAAGTTTCAAAGTAATCAAACAACCTGAAATTTGGCACAGTGGCTCTTCAAGTCGTCCCCGTCAAAAAAGTCCCGGGTCAAAGTTGTATTTTGCACAGTGTTGCTATGGCGATGAAACACGTCAGTGCTTCCAATGTGCGTTTACTGAAAAGTAAAGCTCAAAACCATAATAACAGAAACACAAGTGGCACATCAGGGCCATTCTGAGGGAGTGGCAGCAGGACCGTGAGGACTGTTCAATGCTGCTTGGGACTGTAATTATAATTTACTTTCTTTAAGTAACTGTATTGTTAACTATAGCTAGGGCTGCGACTAACGACCATTTGGTATTTTCTTTAAAACGCAAAAGGCCATGAATATGAGAATTTAATTAAATTTTACCCGGATGAAGCTGAAGTGAAGCCCCTTCAGGACATCCTGGTGCAGTTTTCTATCAAAATCACAGGTTCACGTCATTCACATCCTTAAAAAAATCTCCTCTCGACACATGGCCTGGTTTGAATTTGTTAATACAGCAGTTAACGATTATTCCATTATTAAATTAGTTGAGTATTTAAATAATCAACTACTTGTGATTAATGGAGTAACTAGTTGCAGCCCTGACTATAGTCGTCCACTCTGTGCCTCACCTCTGCTGTTGTCCTTCTACTTGAAGATGACGGTTTTGAGGGTGGTTTCTTCTGTGGCTCTGGTTGTGGCTCTTCTAGTTCTGGTTGCGACTCTAGTTTTGGCTCTGGTTGTGGCTCTGGCTGTGGCTCTGGTTGTGGCTCTGGTTGTATTTCTAGTTTTGGCTTTGGTTTTGGCTCTGGCTGTGGCTCTTGTGGCTCTGGTTGCGGCTCTAGTTTTGGCTCTGGTTGTGGCTCTGGCTGTGGCTCTGGTTGTGGCTCTGGTTGTGGCTCTGGTTGTGGCTCTTGTGGCTCTGGTTGTGGCTCTTGTGGCTCTGGTTTTGGCTCTGGTTGTGGCTCTGGTTGTGGCTCTTCTAGTTCTGGTTGTAGCTCTTGTGACTTTGGTTGTGGCTCTGGTTGTGACTCATTTGGCTCTGGTTGTGGCTCTTGTGGCTTTGGCTGTGGCTCTGGTTGTGGCTTTGGTTGAGGCTCTGGTTGTGGCTCTGGTTGTGGCTCATTTGACTCTGGTTGTGGCTCTTGTTGTGGCTTTGGTTGCGGCTCTGGTTGTGGCTTTGGTTGTGGCTCTTTTGGCTCTTGTGACTCTGGTTGTGGCTCTGGTTGTGGCTCTGGTTGTGGCTCTTGTGGCTCTGTTTGTGGGTCTGTTTGTGGCTCTTGTGACTCTAGTTGTGGCTCTTGTGACTCTAGTTGTGGCTCTGGTTGTGGCTCTGGTTGTGGCTCTTGTGGCTCTGGTTTTGGCTCTGGTTGTGGCTCTGGTTGTGGCTCTTCTAGTTCTGGTTGTAGCTCTTGTGACTTTGGTTGTGGCTCTGGTTGTGAACTCATTTGGCTCTGGTTGTGGCTCTTGTGGCTTTGACTGTGGCTCTGGTTGTGGCTTTGGTTGTGGCTCTGGTTGTGGCTCTGGTTGTGGCTCATTTGACTCTGGTTGTGGCTCTTGTTGTGGCTTTGGTTGCGGCTCTGGTTGTGGCTTTGGTTGTGGCTCTTTTGGCTCTTGTGGCTCTGGTTGTGACTCTGGTTGTGGCTCTTTTGGCTCTTGTGGCTCTGGTTGTGACTCTGGTTGTGGCTCTGGTTGTGGCTCTTGTGGCTCTAGTTGTGGCTTTGGTTGTGGCTCTTTTGGCTCTTGTGGCTCTGGTTGTGGCTCTGGTTGTGGCTCTGGTTGTGGCTCTTGTGACTCTAGTTGTGGCTCTGGTTGTGGCTCTTGTGGCTCTGGTTGTGACTCTGGTTGTGGCTCTGGTTGTGGCTCTTGTGGCTCTGGTTGTGGCTTTGGTTGTGGCTCTTTTGGCTCTTGTGGCTCTGGTTGTGGCTCTGTTTGTGGGTCTGTTTGTGGCTCTTGTGACTCTGGTTGTGGCTCTGGTTGTGGCTCTTGTGGCTCTTCTTGTGGCTCTGTTTGTGGCTCTTGTGGCTCTTGTGGCTCTGGTTGTGGCTCTGGTTGTGGCTCTTGTGGCTCTTGTGGCTCTGGTTGTGGCTCTTGTGGCTCTTGTGGCTCTGGTTGTGGCTCTAGTTGTGGCTCTTGTGGCTCTTGTGACTCTGGTTGTGGCTCTGGTTGTGGCTCTGGTTGTGGCTCTTGTGGCTCTTGTGGCTCTGGTTGTGACTTTGGTTGTGGCTCTAGTTGTGGCTCTAGTTGTGGCTCTTGTGGCTCTTCTTGTGGCTCTGTGTGTGCCTCTGGTTGTGGCTCTTTTGGGTCTGTTTGTGGCTCTTGTGGCTCTTGTGGCTCTTGTGACTCTGGTTGTGCCTCTGGTTGTGGCTCTTGTGGCTCTGGTTGTGTCTCTGGTTTTGTCTCTGGTTGTGGCTCATGTGGTTCTCGTTGCGGCTCTTGTGGCTCTGGTTGTGGCTCTTTTGGGTCTGTTTGTGGATCTTGTGGCTCTGGTTGTGGCTCTTGTGGCTCTTCTTGTGGCTCTTCAGGCTCTAGTTGTGGCTCTGGTTCTGCTTTGTCTTCCAGTCGTCTGAGTTCTCTCAGGATCTTCACTGTTGGACCTTGTTTAAAGTCCAGATCCTTAAAGTCCTGCGTCTCAAAGTAAACCAGACAGTCTCCTGACACGTCCTCTTCCAGCAGCCGCTGGGCGTATTTGTCATCGATCTTCAGGTGCTGCAGTAACCACAGCTTCACCTGCTCCTTTGTCCAGGAGAGCACATACGCAGGACACTGGGGCTGAGTCCGGCTCTGCTCCTTCCACTGTTTTAGACGCTTTGTGATTTTCACCGCTGGGCCGTGTTTTATGTCCATGTCCAGAATCTCCCTTTTGGTAAATTCCACTAAGTGCTCCCCAGACACGTCCTCATCAAAAAACCTTTGGGCGTCAGTCGGACTGACTTTGACGTCTGAAATGAGCCATTCTCGAACCTCGTCTTTGGTCCAACCTTCCATCGTAAGAGGCTCAGTGTGGATTATCTGAAAGACAAAAAAAGACTTCAACTGTTTATCTGGAGTCAGAGCAGGAAACAACATGAGGGTCACTGATCCCACTTTGTCCTATGGGCCCATATTTCAGGCTTTTGTTCAATTTGACCCAAGTCAAAGACAAAGTCCGAGTGAGGAAATAATTCATAATTATTATTAATTATTCCATATTCATGGAAAGCTCCTTGAGATGTAGCATTTTGTTTTCAAGGGGGAGCAAGAACATAAAACATCATTTTTACAAACACGTAGTCCCACAACAACACATAAAACAAGATAAAACATACATACACATACAGTGGGGCAAAAAATATTAAGCAATTATAGAAAGGGGGGTATTTAGCACTAATAAAAAAGCTAGAATTCTGGCTCTCACAGACCTGTTACTTTTTCTTTAAGAACCTCATCTATCCTCCACTCATTCCCTATGTTTAAACTGTTGGAGAAATTATTAGAAAATGCAAGAAACATAACATGACTGACAATCTCCCTCGACCTGGGGCTCCCTGCAAAATCTCACCTTGTGGGGTACAAATGATCTTGAGAGGAATCGCGAGGAATCATCCCAGAACTACACGGAGGGAACTGGTCATTGCCTGAAGAGAGCTAGGACCACAGTCTCAAAGGTTACTATTACTAACACACTATGTCGTCATGGATTAAAATCCTGCAGTGCCCGAAAGGTTCCCTTGCTTAAGCTGGCACATGTCCAGGCCCGTCTAAAGTTTGCCAAGGACCATCTGGATGATCCACAGGAGGACTGGGAGAATGTCATGTGGTCATATGAGACCAAAATAGAACTTTAGGTATAAATGCCACTCACTGTGTTTGGAGGGAGAAGAATGCTGAGTTGCATCCCAACAACACCATAATCACTGTGACGCATGGGGGTGGAAACATCATGCGTTGGGGCTGTTTTTCTGCACAGGGACCAGGACGACTGATATGTATTGAGGAGACAATGAACGGGCCCATGTATCGTGAGATTTTGAGCAAAGAGATGATACGTGGCTGGATCTTTCAGCATAACAGTGATCCCAAACACACTGCCTGGGCAACCAAGGAGTGGCTTCATAAGAAACATTTCAAGGTCCTGGAGTGGCCGAGCAAGTCTCCAGATCTCAGCCCTATAGAAAATCTTTGGAGAGTCTGTGTTGCCCAGCGACAGCCCCAAAGCATCACAGATCTGGAGAAGATCTGCATGGAAGAATGGGCCAAAACACCATCAACAGTGTGTGAAAACCTGGTGAAGACCTACAGGAAATGTTTGACCTCTGTCATTGCCAACCAAGGCTACATGACAAAATATTGAGGTGAATTTTTATTAGTGCTAAATACTTATCCGGCCGTGGGCTCTGAGCTGAGCTTGTTTGTTTAGTTCAGTGCTGGAGTCACTGATTTACCCAGATACCATTGGAAGAAAAAATGTGATTGGTCCATTTCCATTTCATTATATTAACCCTTTGTTTCCTAAGAAATATCAGTCCAAGTTTATAACACTGATCTAGAAATTATTACTAGTGTCGTGTTCATTACTCACAGCATAAAAAATATTCAATAAATATATTAGTCGTACAAACGTCCATTCAATATTTTTTCTGGAGCCTTCAGTGAAAACCTTGAAGACTCTGAGGTTCAACTGTGAAAGAAATGTTCTGTTTACACAACAAATGTTTGGCTGTTTCATTTACATTTCCAATAAAAGAGCGACATACTCTACTTTTTAATTCATTCATTGGTTTTGCGCATAACATGCAATTAATCGTGATTAATTGCTTGAACTCATGGGATTAATCGCGATTAATTTTTTTAAATTTTTGCACAGCCCTAAATATAATAAAAGAAAAATATAAAATAACAAGACACCAAGGGTAGAACCCTGTGGTACATTTTTCCATGATACATGAACTACCTTGTGCATCTTTGAATACAACAAGCTGACATCTGTTACATGTAGGTAAACCTTGAACCATAAAAGAGAATTTCTGTTTAGACCTGTAGATATGAGTTTGTCCAACAGTGGGAACTGGTCAACCAAATCAAAAGCCTTTGAAAGGTTCAGAAATATAGCACCCATACACTGGTTTTGGTCAAAGGAGGAGGTAAATTTTACTAAAGCTGTTGTGGTAGAGAAATCAGAACGAAACCCTGATTGATAAGAAGATAAGATGCTGAACTGACTGAGATATTTATACAATTAGATTTAGACTTGGAGACTTAGACAAACTTTATTGATCCACAGGGAAATTGTTTGGATACAGTAGCTCACACATCACAATAAATATAATAACAAAGAGCAAAAATATAAATGGTAAAATATTTCTGAATAAGCAGCAAAAAAAGAGCAAGAGACACATGTGAAATAAAACATAATTATATAAATATAAATGTACAATAATAATTTATAATAGAATAGAATAATAGAATAGAATTTATAATAGATTTATTTATAATAGAATTTATAATAGAATTTATAATAGAAAAATAATAAAATATAAAATCACAGCTTTATACAAAAGGTCACAGGAAAACTGTGCAAAAATGATATGATGATTGACAGGACATAAGGTTATCTGTTACATAGAGATGAGTTGTTGTACAGTTGTAGGGAGTATTATCTGTTACATACAGATGAGTTGTTGTACAGTTGTAGGGAGTATTATCTGTTACATAGAGATGAGTTGTTGTGCAGTTGTAGGGAGTATTATCTGTTACATAGAGATGAGTTGTTGTACAGTTGTAGGGAGTATTATCTGTTACATAGAGATGAGTTGTTGTACAGTTGTAGGGAGTATTATCTGTTACATAGAGATGAGTTGTACAGTTGTAGGGAGTATTATCTGTTACATAGAGATGAGTTGTTGTACAGTTGTAGGGAGTATTATCTGTTACATAGAGATGAGTTGTTGTACAGTTGTAGGGAGTATTATCTGTTACATAGAGATGAGTTGTTGTACAGTTGTAGGGAGTATTATCTGTTACATAGAGATGAGTTGTTGTACAGTTGTAGGGAGTATTATCTGTTACATAGAGATGAGTTGTTGTACAGTTGTAGGGAGTATTATCTGTTACATACAGATGAGTTGTTACAGTTGTAGGGAGTATTATCTGTTACATAGAGATGAGTTGTTGTACAGTTGTAGGGAGTATTATCTGTTACATAGAGATGAGTTGTTGTACAGTTGTAGGGAGTATTATCTGTTACATAGAGATGAGTTGTTGTACAGTTGTAGGGAGTATTATCTGTTACATAGAGATGAGTTGTTGTACAGTTGTAGGGAGTATTATCTGTTACATAGAGATGAGTTGTTGTACAGTTGTAGGGAGTATTATCTGTTACATAGAGATGAGTTGTTGTACAGTTGTAGGGAGTATTATCTGTTACATAGAGATGAGTTGTTGTACAGTTGTAGGGAGTATTATCTGTTACATAGAGATGAGTTGTTGTACAGTTGTAGGGAGTATTATCTGTTACATAGAGATGAGTTGTTGTACAGTTGTAGGGAGTATTATCTGTTACATAGAGATGAGTTGTTGTGCAGTTGTAGGGAGTATTATCTGTTACATAGAGATGAGTTGTTGTACAGTTGTAGGGAGTATTATCTGTTACATACAGATGAGTTGTTGTACAGTTGTAGGGAGTATTATCTGTTACATACAGATGAGTTGTTGTACAGTTGTAGGGAGTATTATCTGTTACATACAGATGAGTTGTTGTACAGTTGTAGGGAGTATTATCTGTCCCTCACTGTGACAAATGTCTCCAGCTCACAGTCGATCACGTGAGCAGCTTTACAGATCAGTTTGTCGATCCCAATGTCCCTTTTCCTGGATCTGCTCCCCACAGACCACAGACAAGTCCAGGAGCCTCCACACACTGGAGAACATCTCCAGAACCTTCTGCACAGTGAAAGACCTGAGCTTTCTCAGGAAGTCGAGTCTCCTCCTGCTCTTCTTGTCCTTCCAGTCCAGTCTGTCGTTCACCTGGACACTCAGGTCCTTGTATCAGTCACTATTTCCACCTCAGGTCCTGATGGTGATGGGCTCCACTGGTGTCTTCTTCCTCCTCAAGTCTTCACCAGGTCCTTGGTCTTGTCAAAGTTTGGCAGGAGGCTGGGGGCACTTTACTATTTTTTCAAACATTATGCTTTTCTGACATCAATTATATTAATGCAATAGTTTCTTATCAGAGTTGTAGTTTGCCAGAGAGGACCAGGGTGATTCCTACCTACCTGCCTATCTATCTGCTGCATTTAGACCATGGACAGCATCCTGAATATGCACAGTATAAGTAGAGCATGGAAACCTGACCAAAGTCCGACAGGTTTGGGTCAGACTCTGACACATCAGTGCTTCAGCTGTTTCCTGTCTACAGTAGAAACACTCGCTCTGAGACTCTTAAGTGTTCAAAGATCAGAGCAAGTGCACGGAGAACGGTCGCATAGAACAACATATAATGAACCAAACCGGATTCACACTTCTGTCCGTCTGGAAGCTGCACCACCTCAGAACCAGCCGCAGTTCTCGAGCACAGAGGACTGGAGCAGCCCGCCCGGATCTGCAGCCCACAGCACATTCTCCATTTTGCTGCATGGATCCAGTGCACAGATGATGACACGAAACTGCTTGGACCCAGTCCACTGTGGACTGGTTTGACTCCGCCCGTCTGGAACCAGCACATGGAAGATGGAGCCTTTGGACCAATCTGACCAACCATCTGGCGAACGAGGATACACTTGGAATCCGTAAGTCTTCTACGGGCTATGCTCTAGTTATCTACTTATAAATTTGGATGTGGTCATAGTGAATTTTCAACAAAATTGCAATTTTTTTTTGGAAAAAAAAAAAAATCTACAACACATTTTTTGTTTGGGGAAAAGTGTTTGTGCAGAATCGCAAACTGAATGTAATGACATGCAAATCAAGGAGCTATCTAACGAAATGGCTCTCTCTTGATATTTTTATTTGAAGAAAATTCATAGAAGACAATA